CAAACCAACAGGGACCACATCCAGCTTTGATTGGCTTGTCCTAAATCTTCACTTTGAGTAAGAGATGGCAGATCTGTAATGGCACAAATGAGACTGAAAGGAGCCTTTAATCCTTTTCACAGCTCATCCCACTAGCTGCCCTCAATAACGTAATGGGATCTCTCTCTGAAGACAAACAGACAAAAGACACATACCATGGTGATTTGTAGCAGTAATTTGAGTTCTTTTTGTCCTGTTCTAGGTTTACCCCACCACAATGCGAGCCCTGGGGATGGGAACAAGTGGGTCCTTGTGCCGTGTTGGAGCTATGGTGGCCCCATTTATATCACAAGTAAAAGCACTCTTAGTATCATCTTAATACAGGATGTCAATTGTTGAGCAGTAAAGGTCTAGACTGCTCTTTTCTCCTAACACCACAGAATAGATTTGCAGCTTTTACTCTTTTTTTTCTTAAACGGGCCAATGATATGTTGGCAAACTTTGCACTAAATATAGCTATCAAATACATGGAGAGGTGCCCTTGAAGTTCAAAAAAAAAAAAAAACTAAGGGAGGGAGGAGTAAGGTATTCAAATCCCCTTTACTTTTAACTCATTAGTTCTTCATGTGATGTTTGCATAGAGTACTTATGTGGTCTTTGCCAGATGTAGATCTGCATAAATTTCTTCCCAGAGCTTAGCTCGCTAGCACATTATATTCTGAAAGCCACTAGACTCACAAGACATTGTTTTTTCCTCGCTATTGTTGAGTCTCAGATGTTTGTGATCCTTTGTCTACTCTTTAATTCCTAATTAACTGCCAGGCCCCCACAACAGTGAACTGATGCTTGAACTCTGTGTGTGTGTGTGTGTGTGTGTGTGTGTGTGTGTGTGTGTGGTGTGTGTGTGGTAGCTTCAAGGAACTTTTTTTTTTTTTTTTTAAATCTACAGCTTCATATGAGTGCTTCTTTCATTGGGGCCCTGTGTCTTTTCGCATCTGTGTGCATCGTGTGTGCAATCTCTGCGTTCACGTTGCCCATTGAGACCAAGGGCAGGGCACTGCAGGTTTGTATGACCACTCCAGGGGCTCTTGTGTATCTAAATACTATTCAGAAACTCCTACATTGGGGTGCATTATGACTGAATCACAAACTGTCACGAAGGTTCATACACCAAAATAAGGACTGACAGATGAGCATGGGAACATGCTGTTGCAGCAACTTAAAGTACTGTCACCCCAGCTGCCTACGCTCATTTCTCATAAATGAACAAACCAGATTGCCTGGCACAGCCCCAACTCCTTCCCACCAGCATGCTAGCTTGTGAGTGCAATTCCTTCCTTGCTAGTATCTCCGGCCCCTCCTTGACATTGCTGGTTCACAGGTGCATACTCTGTTCTGCCACCTCTGCTGCAGGAAGAGAGGATAGCACATAAAACTCCTTAAACTACCAAAGTCAGATCATCATCAAATCTAAGTCAAAAGTCCCAACTTAAGCAGTCCGTTATGTGCTTAGTGTTTCCTATAAGGCTACAGAGGCAATTAGCTAAAAGATCAGGCACAGAGATAAAAGTGGAAGGTGGGCTTAGATACGGATAGCCTTCCCTCCACAAAGTAGCAATAACCTATTTACAGGAGATGGTGAGTAGCTTTGCCATTGTGGCTGATTCAGCTACACCAGCAGGGAAATTTTCACCTCGTGCAGCGTGTCCACATCACTCTGCATGCTATTCTGCAGTCCACTTTCCCCATATAAGCCAGAAGACCGTGGGCTAGATCCTCCACGTTCTTCAGCAGCCTAGAGGCAAATAGATATTTAAGCAAGCTATTAAAATATATTTATACGATCTAAGTTCATTGGGTCACATCTTCTAATGTTTCCCAAGGTGCACATGACAGTTAACCTTTGGCTTTTCCAAAAAGTAACACATTAATCACTGTCTGCTTCTTTAAATACTTATCTTTTAGAAGTATGGACTCATGTTTTTGTCATTTAAAACAATCTCTATGACATTCTGTAAAAGATGGGGGGGAAAAAATAAAAAAAAAAAAATCAAAGCTTAAAGGACTTGGACAAAACAACTTATTCTTCCCCTATGAGTAAAACTCAACCAATGCACAGAGGCCAGAGAGCCACTTAGCCCCAAAATGGTTGAGTTTACAATAATTACAAAGCAAAACATCTTAAAACCACTTTAGACATAAAAGAAAAGCTTTGGTTAGCTACAGTTGGATTAACTTTGGCTAACAGTGGCTGGGATAAATGGGAGCATAAACAAGTCCTTAATGGGACGGCTTTTTTCCTGGGGACTTGACTCAATAGCTTTCTTATAAAGTACAAAAAATACACTTGCAGCTTTTTTGCAGAAATCGTCTTTGAGGCAAACGGGAGCTACAGCTCTAGTCGCTGGCCTGTAAACGCACACGTCAAAAGGATAGCGAAAAAGTATGTAAACTCATTGTGTGCTGAGAGAAGAGAGCATTATCTTACGTTTAACTGGGTAACCCTTATCTCATGTTCATTTCTGAGATTGTATTTTGTGTATACAAAGTCATTTATCGGTTGCTGAATCATGACTGTTGAACAAATTGTCCAAGAGCCTCACACAATACAGTTATTCAATCCATACAAGAACTTAACACACAATATATCAAAGCTCTCTTCTTTCTAACATGGCAATATTTAGCACTAAGACTCCAGACTGTAGATGCAGACCTCAACATTAAGCCTGCAACTAAATGAAAAATAAATATATAAGAAAATATTTCTGGAATCTAGGCAATGACATTTAAAAAAGTTTATCTACCCTTTTCCAGTTTATTAGGACATCACCACCGCTTTCAAAATAGTCATGGGAGTAGCCTATCAAAGGGGAGTCTTTTTGGACACATCTCATACATTTTCCCCTGCATCCATTTCCGTTGGTTTTCATGTGTATTTTATTAATTTTTTATTTTCTTTCTCCTTAGCAAGTTAAATGAAAGCAAGTGTTTGATGTTGGATTGGTTAGGAAAAGAGAGAGAAACCTCTGGAATCTGTCATTTCCTGTGAGCTGCATTTGATGTTGACTGCTTCTCCATACCATTTCCATTATAATAAATTGCAACCGACCAGTGTAAGAACTACGATTCGTATAGACAAATACCAATTTTCTCAAATATGTACTCTTTCCTACGATTCAATAAAAAGATACCTTCTACCCATCCCATGCAGAGAGATGAAGACTTTTTACTACACTCATTACTAGTGCCATTATTACTGCCATGCCACAAAAAAAATGTGGAAAAATGACAGCCATAAAAGTAAGTGTTCTATACAAAGATTAGCTTACTTGCAGAGTAAAATCAGTATTGATTACCATCCTTATTTGCTTCAGCGGATTGAGGCAGAGGGGAAAAAATATAATGCACCAAGTAGATAGTCTTTGCCATAGCAGGTTGAACAAATGCAATACTCCCCTAGGAAAACAAAATAGCATTCCTCAAATATTTATGCATATATCATCTTCATTATAGCAAGTCAATTTAACATATCAAGCCCCATTACATAGGCAATTTCTGAAGGTTCTTAGGGTGACATTCAAGACTAGAAGACTAAAGTTGAGTTAGATTTTTCCATTGAATTAACAGAATTCTCAGTCAATTTGCTGAAAAACTGCCTTGCCTTCATGCTCACTCACCCACACAGTTCGATGGTAGCACACAGATCAGCCTCTCAGGAGGCAGCTGGCAAGCAGGGGTTACTGAAACTTGAAGTCTCTTGGCAACCTGCCCAATGGTTTTCTGTATGAAGGCATTCTAGGCCTCACAGCAGCTGTGGCAGGCTGATATAGTCAAAGCCATCCCTGACCCATCCCCTGTATAAACCAGTAAGCCAGAATGAAGCATAGAAATTGCGAGCTCATCTGGACATTCAGATCTAGTACTGATGGACTAAATGGCCAGCCTGTCTGGCTCTACAGCTAACGCAAGAGGTCTGCCAGCTGGATAGCTGGTGAGCCATATGATTGACTTTTTGGAGAACTGTCACCTGCACTGCTTGTTGCAGCTGCTTCCTCCAAGCTGATAAATGCCAAGAATAACAATCTCAGTTTGAATTTCAGAGTAACTTTTTTTTTTTTTTTTGAAATTTTTTCCCATGAAAACACATCTGGAGAGTGAAGAAAAGGGGGAACGGACTGAGGTATTTCCTAATCTTTCTTCCCATCTCCATCTTGAACTATAGTACTGTAGGTTCTACAAACTGTTCCAGCACTAAAAGAGAAAAACTTGAATGAAAAGATGACTATGGGAGGGGGCGGGGGGAGAAAAATCACTCTTACAGCTCACCTGTATTTCTCACTGAAACATGCCTGCAGTTCTAAAATAATCTCTTCTGACTGGTTAAAGTGTTGGCTGCATAATTTCAAAAAGTTTTTTTTTTTTTTTTAAGTGAGAATCAAAAGCAGACAGAAGTAACTGGACTGCAAGAATATATCTCTACCCCTCTCCCTAGTATTTTTCATTGTAAGGACAGGGTCAGAGTGAAGGTATAGAAGTGCCTAACTTCACCTCCAAATGCATTAAGCCTCCTAACAAATCTGTGCCTGCAACTTACGGCCCACAGTAACGCTCAGCACCTTCCCCTGGCAGCACAGCTACATTTGGTGACAGGGTATCTAGGACTTTCAGGCATTGCTAGATTTTTCAGACTTCAAGTGCTGCAATGGCTATGCCTCTTATTTCTCATCTCTGCTCCTGTAGCATGCGCTAATCACACTTGTTTTGTGAGAATGCCCTCCTTCACCTCTCTTCCTTTTTTCTGGTACAATGGGTGGTAGAACTGACACAGCAGCTCTCTACAGGTAATAAAGTTACTCAAAGAATAGAAGAAAAAAGAGAAAATGGTTACTCTCACCAGCTTAAAATTCAATCAAATCAGCATGGTATTTCAAAAGTTATTGTGCCTGTCAAAGGTGCTGTAATTACAGCTGATACATATATATATATATATTTTTTTTTTTTTTTCTCTGAAGTGTCCATTACACCTAAGTAGGCAGTGCCTCCCTATGACAAAGGCAGGCAGTAGCATCTGTGTGTTGTGAGAAGAAAAAAGGCCTTTTTCTGTGCACATGTGTGCACAGCAAGCAGGCACTGATGACAGCACTTGCATCTAGTCTCCTCAATGATCTATCCCCAGCACCATAGCAGCGCTACACAGCAAGTCAAAAGCAGGCTTGTGTACACACAGATGCCTTTTATAATTCCATCTGCAAAACTCTGGCACAATCAGAGCTTGGTTAATCCAAGAGACCGCCTGCTCCCCCTAAAATTCAGTTTTAAGATGACATAAATGAAGAGCGTAAACCAATAGCTTAAGCAGCCCGTGAGAACGCTGCAATCTTTGAAGGCATAAACAACCATCTATGTTGTTGACAACCCTTCTGGAACTTAAACCAAACTAAAAAGGTAATTTATCCTTACCTTCTGGTGATTTTAACATGGACAGATGAAGGATGAAAGAGCATTATTGTTCTTTTTCTTTTTTCCTTTCTTTTCGAACTTGTGTACTTCTGAGTGAATACCACTGCAGGTGGAATTCTCAAAATAACATATTTAGAAATTTGGTTAAATAATAAGAGCTTGTGGACAGAAAGGATGCTTTTTTCCTAAACATACCCAAAAACCGATAATATTTTTTCCTTGCAATCTTGCCATGACCTCCATTAAATATAGGTACATCATACCTGTTAAACAATATAGTACAGGAATATCACTGCTTCTGGCTGGTGGTAAGAAAAATGGTGCAAAACAAAGCATTGCGTCTTCCTTGTCTCCATTAAAACTCTCAAACAAATTCCACCTCCTCTTTTTTAAAATTTTTAATACACTCTCTCTTACATCTTAAAATTACCGACACCTTCCTTGAGAGCAACTACACTTTCATTGTACCAGTCAGCATCGTAGGACAACAGTATTACACCATCTGTTTTCATGGCTTGCGTTAAGTACAGTACCAGAGAAATCAAATTATGGCCAGCCCCATGCCTTTGGTAAAACTAAACGTCTGGTGAAATCACATTTTCTTCAAACTCGGAAAGCCACATGTTGAACCCATGTAATGTTTTAAAGTTCAATTCTATACAAACTTCTTTTCTTCCTCAAAGCAAATGTAAACAGCTGTCATCCCACTCAAATGGCAATTTCTGTACTGTTCCAGAAGTAGGATGAAAGTTTGGAACTTCAGAGAAACAGCTCTCCACATGCCTTGATCTCCATTAGATTTGTGTTTTAGAAGAGGGGTAGAAAGTCCAGTAAACATCCACAAACCTACAGGTCAAAGCAGTCATGATTTTTCCCCTTTCGACACTTAACATAGATAAATATTCATAGTTTTAAAAAAACGTTCCATAGCAATACATGTGACTCATTTAAGCAACTGACGGTCTTCTTTGAGGCGTTTTTTCCGAGGCTGTACAAAGTCATCATCCGAGTCGTCAGTAAGTTCTGGATTATCTTTTTCACTCTGGCAGTTGGGTTGTACAGGGAACTTTCTCTCCGGATAAAGGCTCTTCAGAAGTTCTTCAAAGTATGCTTCAAGCTTCATGCCAGCATCAGCCACTTCTGAATCAGGCTGTTGGGTGAATTAACAATATCAATGCATCATGAAATAGCATTATACTTAGAGGACCTAAAGTGATTTACAAACTACAAAAAACAAACAGCAATATGAATGGCACTGGTGGAACATGCAGTAACAAAGAGCACAAGCCGAAAAAGAGAGGGAGAAGGCAGAAGCCTTGGCCAATGCCCCCACCAACTTTTTTCTCTTATAGATTATTACAGAAGCTAATTGCAGAAGCCATGCAGCCTGGGTTCTGAAAGCTATGTAAAGAAACTTTAAACACTACTACATTTTGGTTTCTTAAAAAAAAGTGGATTATGCTGTGAAATATATAGATGTGCCTTCAGGATGTTTAAATGCTTTGGAACAATTGCATAAAACGCTAGAATTTCCTCCAGCATTCCTCTAGAATTTCCTTACAGACCCATTTTTAAATTACAGTAAAACATTACTAGAATGCATGATGACTCATCTTGGAAGACTAGGCAGCCCTAAGGTCATTCATATTCACCATGGCTGACCAGTTTTCTGAAGTGGAGGCTAACACGACAGAAAGGGTTCCCAGTTACTGAAGGTGCCTGGATGAGAATCCAACCGAAACCACTTAGACAAACTTTTATTCCTACTGAAATCCCTTCTGCCTTTGTGGCCTACTCAGTACCTGCATCCCTTTTTCACCATTATGTGTTCCCTTATGTGTGGTGGTTGGTATGTTGCTCTTAGGCAATGGAGATTAAAACATTTTTTTAATCCAATGCCCACCATTAACCTCTGTGATAAACGATCATCCTATTCCTTACCTGTTGTCTTGCCATTCAGCTAATATATTTATTAAAACTCTCCTTCTTTCCATGGAAGGATCTATACTGCGTGGTCATCTAACAACAAAGTAGTTTAAAGTGTGATCTGTATTTTTACTGAGGCCTAATCACCAAAACAAGTATAATTCAAAGAGTTCTTGTGTTGTAAGTTCTAGCCCACTACAGTTCTGAACAAATCTAAGCCTACAAAACAAGATAAGTATCTGCTTTTTCTAACCTCATTAAATTCAGCACAGTTTTGGAAAATCAGTCTGAAATCAGCCACAAAATCTTCTGGCTTTGTGTAGAATGAATTGGTCACTTGAAGTCTTTTCTTGATGGTTGACAAGTCCATAGGTTTCTTGATTATTTTGTAGTAATCAGGAACCTACAGGGAGGAAAAAAAAAGTATTTTTACCAAATGCAGCCATGACCATTGTTTATTGTTCTACAAACCTTTAGCTCTGAGGGAGAAGGGAAGATTTACTCTCACCTTCAAAGCACAATTCTAAGACCTGAAAATTCTACTTTTTACATACATACAGACTGATTCTGAAGTAAGTGATTTATGATAGTTTTGCTGGCTAAAATACACTGCTCCCAGTGTCCATTTTAAAAGATGAGAAGCAAAATAAAAATAAATTATATAAAATTGCATTGATTATATAGGATAGAGCAAATGATTTGGACATTCTTGTCTTTTTACATAGTCAAATGAACTGTCTTTTAAGTTTCACTCTGAAGACCACCATATGATATTTCTCGCAATCAACTTAAAAGGAGGCAGTATATGCGTTGCTGAAAGTGACGTTTGGTCAAGAAATGTGTCTTTGGAAATGGTGGTGAATTACAGAGAAATAGTGCTTTCAGTCTTGAACTGTGCTTGTAAGATTAATATCTTTCTTTTAAAGAGAAAACTGCTGCATACCTTCTCATACTTTTTATCTTATTAAAATCATATTTTAAAGAGAAATACTATAAAACCTGCATTTAGTAATACAGGCCTTAAAAGATGAATTGATTAATCATATGTGACCAATGTTTGACCCTTTCTTATCAGTAAACTCGGAAGAATACTTTTTAAAAGAAAAATTTTCATACAGATGGAATTAAAAATAAAAATGCACACAACCATTATTACGTATTGATGAGGTCGTTTCCCACTGACATGTATTGAGGAACATAAAACAGGCTCTCTTTCTCTGATCACCCCAATAGCTTTTGTCTGTTCTTGGACTATAATTGCCTTTTTTATGGTAATAGCACAAGTAGCTTGCTGTCATCCTTGAATTGTCTAATGCACCTAGATTTTTTTTTTTTTTTTTAAGCATTTTAAACTAATGAATTCCCAGGTAATAATTCAAAAATTCAATTTTGTATTAGCACTATGGAATACTCCAGCTCTCATATTCAAGTCACTTTTAAAAAATATCCTAATTCACTTTTTTATTGATATCATTCAGCATTGTAAAAATCAGCAGATAGTGTTAGTACTTATTTTTTGTGTCTATTTATGAAGTAGTAAGTAAAATCCGTTCTTGGGGAATTTTACTAGTAAAGCCCCTTCCAACCCAATGCTTTACCTTTCAGCTTCCCTTCAGAAAGCTTTAATAAAATTATACACATCTGACACATCCAGGGGAACTTGCTTCCCGATAATGGACTATAATTCAGAATAATAATGCAATTAAGAACATGACAACTACATTACTGATTGATATAAGATGGAAAGGAAGTAACTGAGGTACATACTGTGGGAGGAACTGGATCTTGAAAAGCGAGACTCATTTCATGACAGTAGAGGTACAGCAGCAGCCTTTCACATTTCTGTGTCAAGAGAAATAGGTACCCGAGTAATCAGAGACTCCTACATAACTTGTTTTTAAATAATCAGCTGCAGAAAACAAACAGATGTGTAGTATTCCCCCAGCCCCCAAGCAGAAGAGTGAATACAAAAACTGTATTTGGAAGCAAACGTAACAGTCTTCAACAACCTGTAGTATTTTTCTGCAATAGATGTATCATATCATTATTAACTCTCAAACGCATGTTATGAAACCTTATATAGTTACCAACGGTGTCATTCAGTATTAGCCGAGTCCCCTGGATATTCCAGAGAACGTATAAAGCACGCATGGCTCTTTGCGCTCAATAAATATTCAGAGATAGCAGTAATATTTCTCCTGACCTAAGCACAACTGCTCTGTTAGTGCAAGGCATATACTGCTTTTTGTTAGCAGCAGGGGAGAGTATTTTTCCTGGGTACTCAGGTATATTAAAATGGATCATGAACCTTAAAAGAGATTCTAAAAAAGCTTGTGATTTTATGCTTGCTGATCCTTCATTAGAATATTATAGGATTTCCTATAATCTACA